GTCGTCCTGATGTCGCCGGACGGGGCGGCCCCGCGTGAGGCGGGAGCCGGGTTTAAGGCCGAGCGGGCCATTGCCCCCTCTGCTGGTCACTGCTGTGCGGCCTCCCTCTCTAGAGGGTTCCCTGCTGAAGGAGGGAACACCTGTCAAGCTGCTGCCGCTTCTTAATATTTTTATTAATGAAGTTATTCAAAACAATTTGTACTTTATACCATGGTGCTGTAGTTTCTGCTTATTCATTTTATTTTATTCGAGGTGTTTTATTCTTAAAACAACTTCAGCTCTTCATGTGTCCACTTATCCTTGATCTTAACTTTATTCCTGGCCGAGGATGGTCCATACCTGGTGCTCAGGCAGCACCGGCCAAAAGTAGAGTAGCATGTAACACTGTGGGAAATAATTTGGTTGTGTTTGCCTGGCATAGCAGTTCCAGAATTAAGCTTGGATATCCTGTAGGCTTTTTGGTAATTTGCTATCAGGAAGGGAATGTTGAAACACTTAAAAGTGCATGAACTTTAAAACTTGAATGTTACATGTGTCTTTTTCCACTCTTTTGAAGAAAACCTTAGGAAATGGCAGAAGCTGTTTTCCAACCCCCAAGAAGGAAAAGAAGAGTTTTTGAGACATACGAATCTGCCTTTCCTGTGGAAATAGATGGGAAGGATTTCAGAATATATCATGCTGAAATTATTAACAACAATGTCATTGTGAGGAACCCTGAAGATATTGAACAGCTGTATAGCAAGGTGGTGTACCCTATTTGCACCATATTTCAATTTTTTGAACATACATAGAGCAGAACATGTGTTATAATCTTTTTGTTTCCCTTCCCCTTTTAGCATCTGTCTCCCTCCTCTATTTAAATAAATATTAAATATATATTTCTGTATCAACTATGAGAAGTATTTCATTCTTAGCCCAGGAAATAAATATATATAATCCAATGATGTAATAAAGATGTTGTGTTTTTCTTTGAAGGGCTATTTTGGAAAAGGTATTCTTTCGAGAAGTCGGCCAGTGTACAGCATTTCAGATCCTTTACTGGTTACAAAGTGGCAAGGTAAATTGTCCCCATTTCTAATTCCCTCATTGTTTTAATAGTATTTTTCATTTTTCCTCTGTTATTAATGATTTTCGTGTATAAATTGCATATAAAAAACTAATCTCTGTACTAGGTTAGATATTGGATCAAACCAAGCCTGTCTGTTCTCAGAGGCTAAAATAAGATGCCTAGGGAAAAATACATGAACAGGAAAGCATAATTGTTAACTCCTTAGTGCATTCTCCAGCCTACACTGATTTGTTGCTTAGGACCTTTGTATATCAAGGCAGCAGTTTTGGACTTTTCTTCCAGGAACTTTCTTGTTTTCATCCTGAACTTCTTAGTGCCCATGAAATCATATGGCAAGGGTATGTGCAATTTTGAATCTGTTAGTAGGTAATTGCCTGTTACATGCTTGTGGTCTATATATAGAAAGACTCATTCATTATCCATCTTCTTGATGACACTTTTAAGCCTCTGAAATGGAATTCTAGCACATTGCACTGCAACTGTCTTCTTAAAAGCTGCAGAAAGTAGTGTATTTAGTTGTCCCTCTTATATAAGCCCTTCCTTCTTTGTTACTTCTGTACTTTTTCTAGTTCTGCTGTGTCCTTGAGATTAGAGGGGAAACCAAAATTACACCCAGTTTTGAAGATGCTTATTATGCTTATTACAGAATATATGAGTGTTTAAAAAATATACATTATTGAAACATTATATATTTTTAATGCAGGTGCTAACATAAACTTGCCCATAATTGCATCAAAGAAGTAAGTTCTACATTATTATTTTTTTTTTGGAAGAAGGTGATTCTAATCTGTGTTTTTTATTTCACTGTTTTTCAGCGTGTAGGTTGTATAGATGTTGATGACTCACTGCTATTTATTTTGTTGTCTGTAGTAGCTGTGTTAGAATTTCATTTTGGGAAATAAAGAATATTGTACTAAAATTTTCCATATTTCAATACGGATAACTACATTTAACTACCTGTAACATTTGACAGAATGAAGATTAATATTTTAAACTAGTTTTTCTGTTTTTCCTCAGAGATACAGGGATTTTGGCAAGACTGAAAATAATTTCTGGTTAGATGTTTACACTGATGTTTTTGCTGTAGCATTACTGTTTGGAAGCATTAAAAAAAGATGCTGTTCTCAGTTACCTGTATAATAGATAAAGACTATGAAACCTCAGTATACGAAGTCTTAGTTGCAGTTTTTCATTGTGCAAACTCTGCTTCTAGTATCTTTTCATAGGGAATTCATTCTTTAAGGTTCCAGGGGGAAAATGGAAATTTTGCCTGATGAAGCTCTTAGGTTTTGAAGCTGTGTAGTGGTAGCCCTCAGTTTGTGTTTGCGTTTTCTACATTGGTGCTTGTTGCCACAGAAATTTTAAATGTCAAAGCCAGAAAAGGCAGTAGAATCTGATACTGAGCAGCTTAGTCTGTGCGTTCTGACCAAAAGACTGGAGTTTAATTACGTTGTGCATGCTTGTGCTTTACCTAGCAGTCTTTGGGGTGTATGTTAAGATTTGTTCTGTGAGCTGTGCAGAATTGTCTATTTTAAGATGCTTGTTTTTAAGATGTTAATTGAAGGATGTTATGTCTTAGAACTTGCTGTTTCCTTTACTTGTTTACTAGGTACCAGTATCACGTCCAGTGGGCTAAAAGTGTTTTGCAACAGCAAGGATTTGATGACTATTCAGTTACCAAAATTCTTGAAAACTACACTAAGCCTCTTGAGTTGCCCTGTATGAAAAATGATGGAGCTGAGCAAATTGGCAATTGTTGTGACAGAATGGGCCCAAGCACAGAAAATGTAGAGCTTTCTAGACATTCTTCTACAGATGCTGGAAACGTATCTCCAAGTTACGAATGTCGTAATCAGAAGGAAGGCTATGCAAAAGCCTGTGTGGAAGGAGATCCAGCTCATGATCCTGTGGCCATGTGTGGCTCTAAAGAACAGGAACCATTTGACTTAAAAGAGAGCGCTGAAGTGTCTTGCCAGAGGCACAGTTTTCTTGTGCATTGTGGCTGCAAGGCAAAGGAAAGCACTCAACCAAAATCTTGCGAGATGGTCACATCAAAAGAATGTGCTCCAGAATATGTGTTGGTGCAAGAGGAGGAAGGAAGTAGTTTAAACCCTGAAGATAACTCTGCTGGTGAGCAAGAAAATGTAAGGCCAAAAAGTATCCTATTCTTTTAGAAAGTTTATATAATAATCACTGCTACTTCCAGGGTTTATTATCTTTTTGCAGTTTAAAAATTTAGTAATATAGTACATTTTTATTGCAGTCTGTCAAGAAGGAAAAACTGGTATGCAGAAGAAATCCATTCAGGATTTTTGAATATTTACAACTCAGCTTGGAAGAGGTATGTTTCAAATACCATACAATTTAATTTTCTTTTAACCTGAAAAACAAGCATTAATATATGCTACCACATGACTTAATACTGTTCCTTAAAGATAAGATTCTCTAGTGTCTCCTAAATATTTGAATCGTTTTGATGATTAAACTCATTTTTAGAAACCATTTATTGCATGATAACAGTTTTAAAAAAGTCCAGTCCCAAATACTTCAGACTGAATAATTCCACCAAAAACAAAGAGGCCAATCGTATGAGTTAAATATTGAAATACCAGGAACATATTTTTTATATAAAACCCACTCCAGATATTTTAAACATGTTATTATGTTACGTACAATACAGTGCCTTCAGCAGTCCAAAGCACATGCGTAGATAAGTGGTATGTTTGTTGCAGTTTAAAGTTTATATAGAGAAATATCAAAGGAAGCCTTCAGGACACTTGTTTGTCTTGGCATAGGGATTCTGGTATAAAAAGAGTTTGAACCTTTGTTCTGGTATGGAACATGAACTACAGAAATAGCCTGGATATTAATTAAAATTATTCTTTTTTTTTCCCAGGCTTTTTTCTTGGTATATGCTCTAGGATGCTTAACTATTTATTATGGGGAGGTAAGAGATTTCATTAATTTTCTATTGTGTTCTGAAGGGAATAGTGTTCATTTGGATGTTTTGGTTTAGCCTGGATATGTTTGGTCTTAAATTATTAGTGATTGTCGCAATATCAAATTGTTAACTTCTGAAGGAGGTAATTCCACAGTAATCTGGAAATTGTTCTTGCAAACAGAAATGTAATTACTACTACTACTAAGGGTCTAAAATTTTAATGTTTATCAAGAAAAGTACAGATAACTGGGGTCATTCTATAGTTGTTATTTTTGCTTAGGGAAGAAATAAAGTAAGTATGTGAGAAATAGTATGGAGAATGCTCTTTCCTTTCCTGAAACAAGAAAATTCCTTGGGGAGTATTAAGCATAAATATATTAAGCTATTGTTATATGAAATGGCAAAAGGATTGAAATCTTTGTGTCTGAGATTCATCAGATCTCTCTTTAAACAAGAGCCTTATGGGATTGGTTTTGAAACATTTAAATAACTGAATGGAAAGATCAAGTTTCTGTCTGTTAGGGTAAGGCTCCATATTGTATTGCCTGAAGGTTATTTTCTTTGGGACTATGTTATTTAGTATATGACTCTAATGGTCTGCTATGTGCAGCTTGAAACAAACTCTTCTATATCTACTGTGATATTGTCAGACTAATGCCTTTTGGTGTGGTTTCTAGGAGCCTTTAACTATTTTGAAGCTATGGGAAATCTTCAGCGAAGTGAAGCCCGATTTTAAAACCACATACATGGCATATCATTACTTCCGCAGTAAGGGATGGGTCCCCAAAGTCGGACTGAAGTATGGAACCGACCTCTGTGAGTAGTTCCTTTAAAAAATTGAATAGTTTATGACTGACTCCGTTTCAGGTGTAGCAGTTGGTGCAAGACCTTAGTGCCAATGATAAATTCTGCAGTGAGGATCTTTATGACCAGAGCAAACTTTGCTTCTTGCAGTTGGCAAAAGGCATCTTTGGCTACACGACAGATTAGCACTAAAATTGGTATATGAGCAAAATATAACGTCACACATGCAGCAGCTGAGACAGTATCTTGGAAGTCCTGCCATTTTGCTTCATAAGGTTAATAATTGATACAGGATCACAATGAAATTCCTCTCTGAATTTTCCTCTTCTACACACATCTTCCCTGTACTGCTAATATGAGAGGCCTTGGAATAGCATGCACATAGATATAGCATGTAAATACCAACATCTGTAACCACTTAAGTCATTTTCCACAGTCCAGCTGCAATGCCTCATGTGCCCATGAACTTAGATAAAGAACTTCAAGTGTCTATAGGTGGAATTGTGGCAATATCTATGTACTTGTGCCCTTTGTCTCTCTGAAAATTTTTGGAAAAAAATTGTCTCAATAAGAACCTCAGTGACTTACTATGATCTTTCACTTGTACTCCAGTGGTGGTTCAATTTCTGTTTTGAAGACAGTATTCAAAGCCTAAGTGTTGCAGAAAAAAATCCTCCCTAAATCCTTTTCCCACAGCATCAGTAATGGCTCTTCTTTGCCTTCTACCCTGCCACTCCCCTGTCCTCAGTCACCTTGCTGCTTTCATCCTTTCTCTTCTCTCTCTCTCCACTTGCTAGGGCAGCTTAATTCTGAGCAGCTGAAGTTTCATCTTGTGTAATTACATTTATGAAACACTTTGAAAATACTTTTGGGCCTAGTTTCCATTAGGACTAACTAAGGTGTTTCACTTTTGTTTCAGTGCTGTATCGAAAAGGTCCCCCCTTCTATCATGCAAGGTTTGAAGCTTATGTTTTTTGACTACTTTTTTAGTTTCAAATTAGTGTTTTTCTCTCACAATTTTTAATATCTTCCCTGGTTAACCACAGATTATTCTTCACCCAGAATACTTTGCCAGATATATTTCTGCATTGTGAATTCTTGCTGGGATTGCAAGAGTTCTTTTAGCAAAGTACAAAAGAACATAATTGTATGAATTACTTCACATAATGATATTAAAACATGAAAACAGTTGAAATAAGTATATTTGATGTTGGGAAGAATGCACCCAGAAAACTAATCTGATTTAGTAATACTGACTTTTAAAAATACAGGTTATGGATAATTTCTGTGATTTGGGGGGAAATCCAAGATCAATGTTTTAGGAAACTATAATTATCTTTATTCTTCATTAGCAGATTGGTTATACATGTCAGATCGGCATTCATGAGAATGCTACAAACATCAGAAGGGTGGGGAGGAAAAGTGCTAGCCAGTGCCTTTATGGGTTCTAGTCTCTCCTCCTATTTTCCTAGTTAGTTTCATAACTTGCTCTACCTTCTGCTGGTTTATTATCTGACCATGACAACCAGAATTATCACAGATTTTTAGCCTCTGATTCTTAAGTTGCATGTTCTTCCCAAGACAATAGTTTCCTTTCTGTGAGCTGTCTTATCTATCTGCTTTGTTTTCCAGTTACTCTGTCATTGCTGAATTAGTTGATGATAATTTTGAAGGCTCTCTTCGAAGATCACTCAGTTGGATGTCCTTGTCTGGCTTGAACCGAACAACCGTTAATGCTTCTAAGGTAAGAGTGCAAGACACTAGTTCTGAAATAGCTCTTGAATGATAAATGTAACAGTTTAGTTAAAAAGAAAACAATTGGAGTAAGATAGGAAAGATAATCTCTGATTCTGGTCTGCAGAAGAACATGTTGCTGATGGATGAACATGAGTTCTGTTTGCAGATATCCAGATGAATTCTGGAGGCCTTATATTAAAGTTATTTCTCTTCTTGTAACCTCCAAAATTGTGAGGAAAGGACCAGTAGAAAGACCTGAAAGATTACTTGTTTTTTGTTTATCACTTTTGTGTTTAAACCTCTCCCAATCTCTCCAGAATTGCTTTTCAGTTCTAGATGTAATGGTTCCAGAAGGTTTCCTTCATGTTTGATCCTCATATATAATGCTGCTGTTCCCATAGTGATGCCACTCAGCTGTTTTTTACAATTCTGGCTTCTCATAGCAATGTTTTATGCATTTGATAAGGAATATGCATACTCACAGATTTCTTCCACCATGGCTTGCAGGTGCTATCGTGTAGGACCCTTAGTACCTGCCTTTCTAGTTAATGTAAAGTTGTATGGAAAGAAATCAGCTGAAACTCGTGATTTGGCGCTGTCAGTGAATATGTTCTCCGTTTACCAACAGGAACTTATGTTATGTTATTTGATTAGACCGTCTGATATGACTGAGAAAGAGATGTCCACACCAGAATGTATGAAAAGAATTAAGGTTCAGGTGAATAACTATTTCTCTCCTTTGCATATGTATCTGTGCTTTGGGGCAGTTGGAAGACTGGCTAACTACTGTACTGTTCGCCCTTCGATTGTTGCTTGCCATCTAGCATGCTTTCATTCTTGCACATATAACTAGAGTAAAACCATCCTAGATTCCTTTATGAACCGAGACATCAAAAAATCCTCAAAGGCTATTTAAAAACTAAGATCTTCAGATTTAGATTGGAAAGATGCTCTTACGGTGAATATAAGCATTTACATGGAAAAGCTGGGAGAAATATGGAGACTCTGAGGTTAATGGATGTTTAAGAATGAAGAGGGAAGAGTGTGTAAGAGCCAGCATACTTCAGGAAAACATAATAATCTCCTGAAAAAATCAGATAATAATCTCCTGAAATTTCTCAGTGGTCAGGTAACACACATCAATTGGCTAGAGGTTTAATCACCACTCCTCTGTGATTGTAGCTTTTTTCCTCCCATCAGCGTCCATCATAACTACTGTTTTTTATTTCAGGAACTGATTGTAAGTCGGTGGGTTTCTTCTCGTGAACGCTGCGAGCAAGAAGATACTTAACTGAATGTCTGAGGAAGAATTTAATCTGTTTAAAACATTTGTGAGGAACTAGTGCCTCAGAACAGTTTCTATTAAGATATTCTAATGGGTGCACATAAATGCTATTAAGACATATCCTGTTTACTGGACAGAATGATGTATAGAAAAACATAACAGAGCTGTAGTAATGTATATTAAGTTAAAAAGTTGTGTTAAACTGTTGTGACCCAATTCAGTATATGTTGCTGAAACCTCAACTCTGTTCTTAAATGAGAATGCATCCCAATTAAGTGAAATTGCACAAAATTATGAACAGAATTTTCTCTTAATCATATGCTGCTATATTGGGTGCAGCAATAATGCGTAATAGGTAAAAATCCTGTGGAGAGATCCTTTTTTAAACAAAAACAAATTAAAAGGCTTTAAAAAGTCCTAATATTTTGTTTTTGAGTTGAAATCCTGAAGAGCCTGCTGTTTATTACAGGTGCAACATTAAATGATTATCTTCTAATACTAAGGATCTATCTTGGTTTGAGGAATAAAGGTGCAACATATACAAGGAAAAATTATAAAATCTTTTTGGCAAAGAGGCTGGATTCTTTTTTTTTATTATTATACTTATTAGTAATGAAAGTAGCTTTGCATGTGGTGAACATGCAGTACGTCATGAACTTTGGACTTCAGCAGTAGGCAGGCTTTTTAATACCTATCAAAAAAACAACTATGACAGTTTGGAAAATAACATTTTGGTTTACTACAGTTGAAATTTCACAGCTCAGTTGTTAGAAACCTTAATTACACAGCAATTACAATTTCTAGCGCTAAATATCTTGATAGAAAATCCTGTACAGTGATTTTAAAGTTAAAAAATAGAAATATTTTATCATATGAACAGTTCCCATAGAGATTTTCAGTAGTTTGCAAATGACACGTCATTTCATTCACATACGCAGATTTAGTCTCATTATCAGCAAACAACAGGACTCTTTCCTAAGAGGTAGGTCCATGTATGTGTAATAAATTGCATTTTTAAATACAGCAACCGGATTCAGTATCTTAAATGATGATAGTTTGATGCTAAGACTTCCTTTTCCTTTCGTAGCTGTTTTAATGTAGCAGCTTATTTTCAGCACGTTTTTTCTTGTTCAGGATGGTGAACAATATAGAACTCCTTAGCCATTAACTCCTGGTGCAGAGTAATGTATTTGGAAGCTCTCTTTGTCTGTGGGATCACAAATTTTTCTGTGAATTCACTTTTGCTCATGTGCTGCTTCCCTTGTGCAGTCAGCACACTGTTAATAAATGCCAGTGCATATGTGTAGCAATTGTGCTCATGTTCTTCATACCTAAGAGAAATATCTCATTAGTAAGTGTTAGCACTAATTCTTGTAAATACTGTGTGTGCAGGAGTATATTTTACTGAGCAAAATAAAGGAGTACAGGTTCTTCAAGAACCATCATTACTTGCCTTTAATGATGGTGGTTAAATATGTTCTATATAGAGCAGGTTGTGCTTTCCAGCCAAGGATGCTGGAAACGGTGACTCAGTGGCTTTTCTGTTTGTTTCTCTTTACACACACACAAATTTATTTCATGTGAGTCACTAACAGCTTCAGTAATTTACTCCATTTCTCACAGTGCTGCTTTTTCCATTGCTCCTGTATAACTGCATTTGACAGAGACCTGGTCACACTGCTCTGTGCTTGTTCTTCATGATGCTTCTGTAATTGCCTCATCCTGTGTCATTTTCCCCTTCTTCCAAGACCTTCCCTGCTTCATTCTGTCAGTGCCTCCATGGTCTATTTTGATACTGGAAATTCTGTATAAGGCCTGCATGTCAGCCTGGAGCATTTACGGAATGCTTTTGCAAAATCTGGAGACTTGCTATCAAAGTCTGGCTCCAGGTAAAGGTTGTTCACTGCTCTCTTCAAAGCTTTTTTCTAGCATGCTGAGTGCCTACTTTACCAAAATAATATATTAAAGCAAAATACTTGAGTAACTTTAAGAGACCATCATCTCTGTACAATGTAAAACCTCTGAGAATTGCACTGCAAAAAAATGCTGGGCTTACTTCAGTCTAGTCGGCAAAGCACCAAAATGTGGCCTAACTTTCTCTTTCAATTAACATAAACACTTCACAGACTTGTGCTCAGATAGGTGTTTTTTTTTTTAAAAAAAAAATCTTAACTAAGGGCCAGTTCTAGAGCTAATGCTTCCTTAAAGCACAAGCTGCTTTGTCACCAGCAGGCTTAGTGATGTGGCAGCACGTTTTGGCTGGGCTGTATAACTTGTAACGTCATCAACAGGCATCAACTTAATACACAGCCACAAAGAAAGGGAACATTCCGGCTGGCACTTATGTGGAAGCTTTGCTGTATTTATCTAAAACAAAACACAGCTCAAAGAGGTGATCTCTGACAGCAAGCAAATGATCTGGATGTAAGCTCTGAACAAGAAACACCTTTAAATCCAAATACACCTAAGACAGTTAAATTCTAAAGCAAATAATTATAGAATGGCCTTTCTGGATTTCTCTACATCTGTAGCCTTTCTTTACATTTCTTTAAGGGTGTGTTTCAGTGTTTTTTTTTTTTCCATGAAAAATTACTTGGTTGCTGATGAAAACTTTCTAAAATACTCTTATTTTAAGGCCACTGGGTTTCAAGATTACTTAGGAGCTGTTGGTTTGACAGAAAGGTGCATTCCAACGGCAAACCTGTGAAGCCTTGGCAGATCCAAAACAGAATTTTTTATTTATTACCCCAAAGCTAAAACTTCCTATTAAATTCAGCTTCTAAGTGGCCTACCTGTGAGGTAGCCAGTCTTCTCCAGCAGAAAATTCCTCTAGGAGCTTATCCCACTGGTGAAGAAGGCCAAACATGTCTGGCTGTACCAGTGGGACACTAATACACTCTTCCCAACCAGTTTCATCTCTGTGAACACCCTCTTCGTCATAGTTATATACGATGCCTGAAAAGGAAGAGTAAGAGGTAGCACTGAAGAGTTGGATGTATCTGCTATTCCCTGTGATTGTGCTGATGATGATTTTCCATAGTGCCCCATTTATTTATTTAATCAAGGAACTGATCACCCTTTAACACTGCAGTTTTGCATACCTTGTGGTAATAATGAGGACAACTTTAAGGACGGGAAGGCTTCTTTAACTCCCAAACTAGTCTGTTTCTATATTAAATAACCGCTGCCCCAATTGAGGCCTGGCAGGAGCAGGCTGCCCCACGCGCCTGTGCGGGGAGGTCAACCCGGA